AGCGTGTGTCCCCGCTCATGTGTAGGACCAGACACACACTGCGTCAGCTCAAAAGCATCAATAGTAGTTAAAAACTCCCTCACCAGTTGTTTATCAGGGCAACACACATGTATATTAAAATCACCCAGTATAAGAAAACAATCATAATGAGGTCTAACGCTGGCCATAAAGTCTGCAAAGTTGTTTGATTTAACCTGGAAAAAAAGGATAAGCGGTTGAGAATTTCGTTTTTGAAGATGTGGAAAAAGGAAAAAACCTGTATATTTATTTTGTTTTTATTATGAATTGGTAAGATTCAAGATTTTATTTTTGCCATTTATGCATAAACAGACAGTCTAGGCATATAAGTGTTCTTGTGCAGCTCTCTTGGAGTCAGGTAGAGTTAAAAGCCAGAAAAGAGTTTTCATTATAACGTGTTAAGTCATGAAAACAAGAAAACTAAAACCAAAATCAAGCCTTATTAATTTTTCTGTGTGGATTGCTGCCGCCTCATTATCGTGCGCATGCGCAGACAATGCCGCTGCGCCCGCTCCCACAGAGCGGCCTGTATTATGTGTAATTTTCACACAGATTAGCTCATTGATGATAAGTAACCGCAGCTACAGTGTTGGAAATGTATAGTCTGTGGTGACGTTTTGACGCTAGTGGGACTTTTACGTCGTACTGTAGGCCTGTGTAGCCTCTGTGTGAAGTCTCTGTGTAAAGTTATGTAGCCTATTTAATAACTCTCAGCATTATTCCCAAAAGAATTTAGGAGAATAATCGCAACACAGACACATGATGTCTTTAAGTACCTGCAGTGCGGATCTTCTGTGTATGTGAGCGCCTGCTCCTCTGATGAATGAGCAGTGCTGGGCTCATTTTGGTGAATTGATGATGGACTTAGAAATAGAAAACTGATCTTATAGGCATTTCTCCACTAGTAAACCTCTGTGTAAAGTTATGTAGCCTATTTAATAACTCTCAGCATTATTCCCAGAAGACCTTCGAAGAATAATCCTGCATCATAGACAGTCTGCATTGCAATTCACACACCTGTGTAGATGAAAGACTCTGTGGGGTTTACTTCAGAAAGTTTCTATTTATGAGAAATGCTGTTGGGCTGGGTTTGACGTAGGCCTACGTTCTCAGCAGGCAGGCATCTGTCATGGACCTGACAGTGAAGGAGGTTAGGTCTATAGGCCTGTCTGTGATTATCATCTGTTAGTAGACTGATGTTCTTTCACTCATTGGGGGTAGTATTATATTTAGACTACATCTTGTGCTGCCCCTTGTTGTCCAATAGAAAGCAAATGCAACGTATTGGTCATCATCCACGCTTTCATCAGAGGTGGAGGAGGTCACACAGGCAGCAGATCTGCACTGCGGGGAGTTATAGAAGTTACACATCAAAACTTAAAAGCTTAAAGCTAATTTGTGTTTCACCTCTCATCCAAGAGGCTTCATCAGTTCTGACTGACTGGTGTTGAGCCGGAGATATTTATCCCCCTCGGTGGTGTTTCAGTCCTTTGAAGGCCAACAAAGGATTCAAAGACAGGTAACGACTCTCACCGATACTGGGCTATAATGACTCAGTCGTTAAGGGACATTGTGGTCCATAAAGTGCAGCACAATTGAGACATGGCACTTCATAACTCCTCTCTGCCAGACAAATAAATTCTTTAAAAATCATACAATGTGATTTCCTGAAATGTTTTTTTTAATTCTGTCTCTCAGAGTGGGAATGCACCTACAATGTGAAGTTCAGACCCCTCCATGATTTCTAAGTGGGAGAACTTGCAAAATCGCAGGGTGTTCAAATACTTCTGTTCCTCACTGTATGTGGCTGCCTTCTGAACATGGTACAGCACCGATTTGAAGTTGTTGCATTTTCTCATTTGTAAATTAAAGAGCTTTTCATTACAAACTTCAAAGAGGAATTTTCTGTTAATTGATTGTTCTATTAATCATCACATTTTCCAGTTCATGGGTCAATTTGAAAATGAGTGAATGAACTCCTTTACAGACACTTGTAAGGTGGACTAGAGAATTCAAATAAAACCTGGTGAATAAGATGCATCTTTTCTTTTCTTTTTTTTCTCTCATCACATCAGTGACCTGTTCCTTCCTTTGTCCCTCCAGAGCTACCACAGCAACATGTCTGTCTGCAGGAGAAGGTTCTGGCTGACCAGCAGGTCTGGAACCAGGAGAGGAACTCCAGTCTGGACCAAGAGGACCCAGAGCCTCCACAGATTACAGAAGAACAGGAGGAATTCTGCAGCAGTCAGGAGGGAGAGCAGCTTGGACTGAAGCAGGGGACTGATTCCTTTATGTTGACTCCTACTTATGAGGAAAGTGACCACAGTGAAGCAGAACCAACCAGTGACCAGCAGCTCCTCTCTCCCAGCTCTGCTGTAGTTGAGAGCCAGGATCAGGAAGGAAGCCAGCATGGAGACTCAGGATCAGCTAGTAATGCAGAGCCAAAGCCAAAGAGGAGACGTCGCAAAGGCACAAGACACAGTAACAATGCAGACAACTCTCCTATGTCAGAGACTGACTGTGACACTCACACAGGTAAAAAATCTTCTAAGTGTGACACTTGTGGGAAAGCATTTAAGTTTAAGTCCATTTTGAAAGAGCATCTGAGAATCCACACAGGTGAGAGGCCTTTTTGTTGTGAAACCTGTGGAAAAAGCTTCTTACGACATGAAACCTTGAAGCGCCACATGAGAATTCACACAGGTGAGAGGCCGTATGCTTGCAGCATTTGTCAGAAAGGATTTCATTTTAAGTCTAATTTGAAAGAACATCTGAGCACCCACACAGACCAGAGGCTATTTGTTTGCAACATCTGTGGGAAAGGATTCAATCAAAGATCAGTGCTGAAGTGTCATTTAAGAATCCACACAGGGGAGAAGCCATATTGTTGTGAAACCTGTGGAAAAAGCTTTACACAACTTACACAGTTGTTGAAGCACAAGACAGTCCACCAAGATGAGAAGCAGTATTGTTGTGAAACTTGTGGAATAAGCTTCATACACTGTATATCCTTGTTGAACCACATGAAAATTCACTCAGATGAGAAGCAGTATTATTGTGAAACCTGTGGGAAAGGTTTTAAGTCTAATGTCGACTTCTCTGAACACATGAGTGTCCACACCAGTCAGGATCAGAAAGGAAGCCAGCATGAAGAATCAGGATCAACCAGTCAAAGTAGCAATGTGGACAACTCTCTCATTTCAGAGGCCAACTCTGATCCTCCCCCAGGTAAAAAGCCTGTAAAGTAGGAAACCTGTGGTAAAGCTTTTAAGGGTATGTACAGATTAAATAGACATCTGAGAATCCACACAGGTGAGAAGCCATAGTACTTTGGCACCTGTGGGAAAAATTTCTGTATGAAATCAGATATGAAAAGACAGAAGAAGTAATATTTACAGTAGGCCTGTCCCCTATTAGTATAGTCGAGTCATTAGTCAAGAGACCCGTCAGTTGGCTGAGACTCTTCTAGTCGAGTCTTTTTTTTAATAATTATTTAGTTTTTTCGTCAGCTACCAATAAATGGTAGCTCCAGTCGGTAGTTCTTCTGATTTTGGTGTGCGAAGCAGTAAGACTACATTCACACTGCAGGGTGAAGTGGCCCAAATCCGATCTTTTTGCCCAAATGTCACCCATATCCGATTTCTTTATGACCGTGTGAACAGCACAAATCCGATTTTTTTCTTTCTTTTTTTTTTTTTCTCCCCCAAAATCAGGCCCAGGCCACTTTCATATGTGGTCCTAAATTGGATACATATCCAATGTTTTGCAATGCGACTTCAGTCTGAACGGCCAGGTCGCATTTCATGCGATTTTTATGTCATTGAAATGCGACAGACATCACAAAGCTAACAATAATGTGCAGAGAAAACATTTCAGTGAGGGATTATAAATAAGAGGAATGGTCACCAGTGCAAGCTGGTGCACATCAAACACCCAGTAACAACATGTGCTGTTAACTGACAGGAGAAGCTTAAAGTTGTTGGTAAACCTGACTAAAACCAAGTCTCAGAAGACACAACTGCCTATAAGAGTATTGTTTCAGCAGAAATCTACAAGTGTGCTGCCTGTCTCGTTATCCCAACAAATCCATATGGCAGCCTGGCACTATAAATTGTCAATTTAAATCTTGTATGATGTGCAGCTGTCGTTCATTGATGTTGAAATGCTCAGAATTATGTTCTTGTCACTCATTTGCATTTAAACGTTACTGAGGTTGAAATTTTCAATCAAATTCATGCCAGTTGATTTTCTCACAATCTAGGTTATATATTAAATAAGAAAAAGAAATAAGAGTAGAATAGTGAAGAGCAAAGAGAAGATGATGGAGACATCTTGGTCTCTAGCTGCTGCTCACGTCTCTGTAGAAGTTGGAGCAGATCTTCACATAAACAAGCTACAACCTCATTTTCATCCAAATGAGCCACTGTGATGAAATGGTGTATGTGCAGCAGCTGTGACATACGTAGTTGTACAGAGAACATCTACAAAGTGCAACTCTGAAAAGATTGTAAAATACAGAAATATTCAGTAGCTTTGCTCCGACACATTTTCCAAACTAAGTGTTGTGGTAAAACCAACAGAAGACCAGTGATGTGTGAAGTGATGTAGGTGACACTAGGTGACCCTAAGGGGGAATAGTTTTGTAATGTGTCTTTTCAGTGTTGCACTTTGCAGACAGTCCTGAATGAAGCCCTGGGGAACATAATGTAAAAAGAAAGTTGTCATTTTAACAGACTGATGAAGCAGCAATGTTGCACATCACGTAACTTCATTACCAGCAGTGACATCACGTTCTGTTAAGCTGGTCTGATTTTATTCTTCGTATGACTGTATTACTCATATTTCTGTTTGTACAGACATTTTGTAGTTGATCTGTTTACTGAACCTCAGTTTTAATTGTTGCCATTAAAAAAAAATACAGTTCATTGAATGTATTGTTTTATTCTGTGTTCTTTCAAGTGTTAAATAAAAGCAGAGAAGGTGATGAGAATATTTCTTTCAGTGCTGGTTATTCAGACTAATGTTCCCAAATGGATGAACTGAATGATGAGGGGAGCTACGAGCGCCATCAGACTAAGTGGTGGTAATGCACCCTGTTTCTACACAACTACTCACTGTCATAACTCAGTCTACACACTCATCCAATATCAATATCCTCTGAGCTGCTTTGAGGATGTAACAGCAGCTGTCAGAGATTATCTACAGCACATTCTGTGTGAGACGTGGACAGACACCTCACTGACACTGACTGAAGTGGATGTTTTGCTTTCACCAGCAGAGCCTGAGACCAGAGCGGGATTCTTAAAATATTCACATGAAATCACACTGGATCCATAAAGTAATCATCTGCAATTGAGCTGCAAATAATCATCTTTGAAAACGTATATGTTCTGTTCTAAATGCATTGGTTCTTTAATCTCAAGTGTCAAATGATACGTGTGGTGGCACACAGTATGTAACTCCAGCGACAACCAACATGTCTCGTCTGTGTCAATCCAACAAATGAAACTTTAATCTAGCTTTTATGTGGAAGTTAGTACCAATTGCTATCAGTAAAATGGGTGAGAAGTTGGGTGTGTGAGTTCACTGTCATCTCAAACCTGTACAATTGTTTCAAAGAAATAAAGGACAAACACAAAGCTTGTCATAATTATTCCTTATTGTGTTGTTTATTGTGTGAAATATACCGAAGGGCTTTTTACACTGATCTTGCTTTTTATTGTCAGGTTCCAGCTGGCTCCTGGTCTATGGTAGATCAGGTGCAATTAATGCTACTGTGATCAGTGTCTAAAGAAGTGTGGGCAAAAATGCTTTTGAAAAATCTTGTGATTAAGTGTTTATAAGGTGATAAAATAAAACCAAGTGTATCATACTGAGCAAGTATATGTGGAGGAGTTGATTGTAACTGAGTAAGCTACATTTACTCAAATTTAACATTGATTCTTCTCAAATTACTAAAACTGCTTTTTAATTAGGTGGTTATGAAATTTTAAACGTTGAAATATAAAACCTGATATAGTTGTTGTTACGCTTTCAGTCCACAAATTTTGACGGAACAAAAAGCTGACTCCTGTCCACTGCCGAAATGTTACAGCGTGACATCCGGCGGAAGTAGATGAACAAAGCGGCTATAAGGTTAGCTTTGTGGAGGCAGTAGAAGATTGTGCCGTAGTCTTATTGCGGGTAAATACTTCTCTGTCCTAACAAATCAACAATGTCTTCAGTTCAGTATCTGAGAGAGTTCGTCACCGAGCGACTAACTGCTGCTGTTGAAGAAATATTCGGAGTCTTTGAGAAAACTGTCGTCGAGTACGAGGAGGAGATCGATCGTCAGCGCAGACTGCTGGATATCGTTTGGAAACCAGAAGTAAAGCTACACAGAATAGGTCTGTTACACCTGAATAATCTTCATACAACTAACAGAGAAACTTCAGCTAACACAGGAATATTGGCCCGTGTATCGTCCCTTTATATAGTTGTTTGATTTAACCTGGAAAAAAAGGATAAACGGTTGAGAATTTCGTTTTTGAAGACGTGGAAAAAGGAAAAACCCCGTATATTTATTTTGTTTTCATTATGAATTGGTAAGATTCAAGATTTTATTTTTGCCATTTATGCATAAACAGACAGTCTAGGCATATAAGTGTTCTTGTGCAGCTCTCTTGGAGTCAGGTAGAGTTAAAAGCCAGAAAAGAGTTTTCATTATAACGTGTTAAGTCATGAAAACAAGAAAACTAAAACCAAAATCAAGCCTTATTAATTTTTCTGTGTGGATTGCTGCCGCCTCATTATCGTGCGCATGCGCAGACAATGCCGCTGCGCCCGCTCCCACAGAGCGGCCTGTATTATGTGTAATTTTCACACAGATTAGCTCATTGATGATAAGTAACCGCAGCTACAGTGTTGGAAATGTATAGTCTGTGGTGACGTTTTGACGCTAGTGGGACTTTTACGTCGTACTGTAGGCCTGTCTAGCCTCTGTGTGAAGTCTCTGTGTAAAGTTATGTAGCCTATTTAATAACTCTCAGCATTATTCCCAAAAGAATTTAGGAGAATAATCGCAACACAGACACATGATGTCTTTAAGTACCTGCAGTGCGGATCTTCTGTGTATGTGAGCGCCTGCTCCTCTGATGAATGAGCAGTGCTGGGCTCATTTTGGTGAATTGATGATGGACTTAGAAATAGAAAACTGATCTTATAGGCATTTCTCCACTAGTAAAGCAACTTCGACCAGGCATCGCCACTAGATGAAGCTGTATGGCGTGAACATTTCGAATCAAAGAGTCACAAACTGAACATTGACTATTACAACTGCATCATAGACAGTCTGCATTGCAATTCACACACCTGTGTAGATGAAAGACTCCGTGGGGTTTACTTCAGAAAGTTTCTATTTGTGAGAAATGCTGTTGGGCTGGGTCTGACGTAGGCCTACGTTCACAGCAGGCAGGCATCTGTCATGGACCTGACAGTGAAGGAGGTTAGGTCTATAGGCCTGTCT